GATGGTATCTCAATGTGCATTTGATTTGCATTTCTCTAATGACCAATAATGATAAGCTTTTTTTATATGTTTGTTGGCTGCATAAATGTCTTCTTTTGAAAAATGTATGTTCATATCCTTCACCCACTTTTTGATGGAGTTTTTATTTTCTTGTAAATTTGTTTAAGTTCTTTGTAGATTATAGACATTAGCCCTTTGTCACACAAGTAGACTGCAAATATTTTTTCTCTTTCTGTTGGTTGCTGGTTCACTCTAATGATAGTTTCTTTTGCTATGCAGAAGCCCTTAAGTTTAATTAGATCCCACTTGTCTATTTTGGCTTTTGTTGTCATTGCTTTTGGTGTTTTAGTCAGGAAGTCGTTGCCTATGCCTATGTCCTGAATGGTTTTGCCTAGGTTTTATTCCAGGGTTTTTATGGTGTTAAATCTTATGTTTAAATCTGGGGTTAATTTTTGTATAAGGAAGGGATCCAGTTTCAGCTTTTTGCATATGGCTAGCCAGCTTTCCTAACACCAATTATTAAATAGGAAATCCTTTCCCCATTGCTTGTTTTTGTCAGGTTTGTCAAAGATCAGATGGTTGTAGATGCATGGTGTTACTTCTGAGGTCTCTGTTCCATTGGTCTATATCTCTGTTTTGGTACCAGTACCATACTGTTTTGATTACTGTAGCCTTGTAGTATAGTTTGAAGTCAGGTAGTGTGATGCCTCCAAGTTGTTTTTTGTTTTTGTTTTTTGCTTAGCATTATCTTGGCTGTGCAGGCTCTTTTTTGGTTCCGCATGAAGTTTAAGGTATTTTTTTCTAACACTGTGAAGAAAGTCCATGGTAGCTTGGTGGGGATAGCATTGAATCTATAAATTACTTTGGGCAGTATAGCTATTCTTCTTAACCATGAGCATGGAATGGTTTTTTATCTGTCTGTGTCCTCTCTTATTTCCTTGAGCAGTGGCTTGTAGTTCTCCTTGAAGAAGTCCTTCACATCCCTTGTTAGTTGTATTCTGAGGCATTTTATTCTCTTTGTAGCAATTGTGAATGGGAGTTCACTCATGTTTGGCTCTCTGTTCATCTATTGTTGGTGTATAGAAATGCTTGTGAATTTTGCACATTGATTTCATATCCTGAGACTTTGCTGAAGTTGCTTATCAGCTTAAGGAGATTTTGGGCTGAGACGATGGGGTCTTCTAAATATACTGTCATGTCATCTGCAAATAGAGACAATTTGACTTCCTCTTTTCCTAATTGAATACACTTTATGTCTTCTTCTTGACTGATGGCCCTGGTCAGAACTTCCAATACTATGCTGAATAGGAATGGTGAGAGAGGGCATCCTTGTCTTGTGCCAGTTTTCAAAGGGAATGTTTCTAGTTTTTGCCCATTCAGTATGACATTGGCTGTGGGTTTGTCATAAACAGTTCTTATTATTTTGAGATATGTTGTATTTTGTTTTGTTTTGAGTCGGAGTCTTGCTCTGTCTCCCAGGAGTGGAGTGCAGAGGTCTGACCTCAGCTCACTGCAACTTCTGTCTCCCAGGTTCGAGTGAGTCTCCTGCCTCAGTCTGCCGAGTAGCTGCGACTAGAGGCATGTGCCACCATGACCAACTAATTTTTGTACTTTTAGTAGAGATGGGATTTCACTGTGTTGGCCAGGCTAGTGTCAAACTCCTGTCCTCAGGTGATCTGCCCTCCTAAACCTCCCAAAGTGCTGGGATTACAGATGTAACTCACAGTGCCCAGCCTTGTTTTGAGGTTGTATTCATAAAATATCTTCCCAGACCAATGTCCTGAGGCATTTTCTCTGTTTTCTTCAAGTAATTTTATGGCTTCAAGTCTTATGCTTGGATCTTTTATCTGTTTTGAGTTGATTTTTGTATAGGGTGAGAAGTGGGAGTTTAGTTTCATTCTTCTACACATGAATTTCAATTTTCCCAGTACCATTGATTAAAGAGATTTTTTTTCCAATGAATGTTCTTGCCTTTGTCAAAAATCATTTAGCTGTGTATGTGTGAATTAATTTCTGGGTCCTCTATTCTGTTCCATTGGTCTATGTGTCTGTTTTTATGCCAACACTTATGCTATTTTGGTTACTACAGCTTTGTAGTATATTTTGAGGTCTGGTAGTGTGATACTTCCAGCTTTGTTCTTTTTGCTCAGGATTACTTTGGCTATTCCTGGTCTTTTGCAGCTTCATACAAATTTTAGAAAAATGCCATTGATATTTTTATAGGGATTGTATTGAATCTGTAGATTACTTCGGATGGTATTATTTTTACAATATTAATTCATCTGGTCCGTGAGCATGGTATGTCTTCCCATTTGTTTGTATCCTCTTCAATTTCTTTCATCAGTGTTATTCAGTTTTCCTTATAGAAGTCTTTCACATCCTTGATTAAATGTATTCCTAGGTATTTCTGCTACTGATTTTTATATTACTTTTGTATCCTACAACTTTACTGAATTTATTAGTTCTAAGATTTTTTGGTAGAGTCTAGGTTTTTCTTTATATGAGATCATGTAATCTTCAAACAAAGACAATTTGACTTCTTCCCTTTCATTTGGATACCCTTTATTTCTTAAATTACTGACTTTTGAAATAAAAAGCCAGGGATCAGGCATAAGGGAAGATGATCTAGAAGAATACATGATTAGCTCAAGCCTGTTTTTTAGTGAGGCTCATTTTTATCATCTCTAAAATGGGAAGGGTTACTATACATAGCTGTTAGGAGTAAGTGATTAAATACATATAAAACCGTTAGTGCTTAATACGTATTAGCCATTAATGTTGGGTTGAACAAAATGAAACTCTCATTTTGAAAGTCAAAAAGTCAAATATTGAAATTTCACGATTCAATCTCAGATCTGCCAGTGCATAAATCTGTGGCAGTTTCCTGTTTCCCAAATTCAGTCTCACCTGTAGTAAATCCATCTGCTCTACTTTGGATGATAAAAACACATGCCACAAGTCATCTGAGAATATAGATTGACTTAAAGAGGTAATTCTTGAAATAAAATTTCAAACTTCTGTTTTACTTTCCTCATAACCTCTGAAATCCTTTCAATTGCAGAAGTGGAATGGTGTTGTTTATTTTCATTGCAAAATGACAAAGTACTCTGGTAATTTTTTTTTGAAATATGTGCTTTGCTTAAAGAGTTGTATAGTGAAGATTATCATTAGTATCAGCACCCTTGGAGAGGGTTCATATATACTATCTCTGGGAGGAAAAGAAAAAGCCTACTCTACCAACCAATCTCTGGGACTTAGCTAAATAATTATGGAACTAGAATTCCCGTCTTTATTCACCCACTTACCATCTGCTTCCTTGAGGCTATTTTCTAAGTAATTGAATCAAGAGATGAGAAGCATGAACGTAACATAAAAGATCCAGCTGACTTGAAAGAGTATGCATTCCAATATTACTATATTTTAGAGCAAAAATAAACTTGTATACTGGTAGTATTTCTGTAAACCAGAATATTTTGATGGGTTCATTACTGCAAATCCTTTGTGTAATAAAACATTGGAGTTTGAGGTTCTGTTCAGAACTTCTGTTCAGATCATACAATTTTCAAAATATAAATTGGGTAGCTAATCCAAATCCTGTTTGTGTCTTCAAATGAATGCAGCAGTTAGAGTTCTAGCACATATGGCCAACAACTTAGATGTGTGTTTAAGATACTATAGAAAAGACCTGGTTGGGCAGGCGCTTTGTTGGATTTTATGAGAATGAGATTGTGAAGAATTTGCACATGCATTAAAAGTAAATGTTAGAGTACGTATATAACACTTAACAGGTATTTGGCTTGTAAACAGAAATAAAAGATAGATATTACTCTGCAGTATTTATAATGAGCAAATATTTTGGAAAGATCAAAATATTAATCTTTCCTATTGATCCATCTTTTGAAGTTTTGATATTCTTCTCCTCCTTATTAGAATATGTCTTTATTAAAGACTTCTGAAAAGTCTTTAAAAATTTTTCCTTTTTCTTTAAAATAAAGGCAGCACCTTCTTTATAGGTACTACATGATTGGAAATTTACTTTCTGTTATTTGTGTTCAGTTATCCAGCCTACTTTTTTAAAAGCAAAGTTTAGAAATCCTATTATTAAAAATTGAATACTGAACCAAAAATAATCTTGTTCATAAGATAAAGTTTATTTCTTCTGTCTGTAGTAATGCCAGGCAAACTAAAAAAAAAATCTATTGCAAAGTAATACTAGGTATTCTCTGACATGGGAATTTTAATTGTGACTATTTTACTAGGATGCCATATTATTTTGTTATAATCTTATTAAGATTTATATTGTTATATGTACATATGGATATTTGGATTACAATCTCTGTTGTACATTAAAAATAAAGATAAATATTTTAAAAGAGCAACAGCCTTTAAAAGCTTATATACAGTCAGATTTAATTTATGCAACTATCTGCTAGTAGTTAATTGCTACTTGTCTGATTTAACTAAGATAAAGTATGATGACTGGTAAAATGTACTTTTTATTTCCTTCTCCCTTAATAGTAAAAGATATCTACAAAAACCCTAATATCAAAAACTCAAATATCACACTTAATGAAGATTTTGATTCCTTTCTATTCTAGGTAAGAATAATAGAAGGAGGGCTGCAATGAAAACTACTATTCAATATTTTCCTCATGGTCAAAGACAACATGATAGCTCAAGGAAAACAGGTAAGAGATACAAGAAATGGAAAGGGTATCTGTTAGGAGTAGTTTCAGTTATACATATAGAAAAATCTTAAATAATACCTTAAATAAGATAGAGGTTTCTTTCTCACTTTAAAAAAAAAAAAAAAGGGAATGAGAATCTAGAGGCAGGCAGACAGGACTGATGTGGCAGCAACACAGTGATCAAGGACCCATACTTCTATCTTGTGGCTCTACGAGTTTTGCATATGGCCTTATGTTCAAGGTAAACTCCCAGCCATTGCATTTTCATTCTAGTGAATTTTAGGAATGAAGTAGTGAGGAAGAAAAGCTCACCTTTTCCCATGTGAGGAGGCTTTCCTAAAGTTCCACACAACACTTTGCTTAAATTTCATTTATCAGAATGAAGTCACAGGATCAAACTGGCTGCAGAATTGCCTGGGAAATGTAGTCTTTCAGAGGAGTGGCAGGGTTCCCATACAAAAATTGGCATTTGGGTTAGATAACCAGAAGTCTCTAGAGAAAAAAAATTATTACATCTAGATATTATTATTGTCCACATAGAGAAGTGCAAAGGCACTCTGATACATACTTTTAAAACTAAAAAGAATATTCACCAAGATTGAGGTACATATACAGAGAGAACAAGATAAATATCATGTGTGAGCACATAGAAATGTGTGAAATATTTATGGCAGAATTTTTGGTAGTATAAAAATGGAACACATTAATGTCTTATAGGATGAATGAATAAACAAATGGTTGCATATTTATTTCATTTATAAAATCAAATGCTTGGAAATATTAAAATTAGTAAAATTAATTTACAAGCAGTGACAGTTAAGTTTCAGAAACATTGTTCACTTGATATATATCATTTATTTCTTTAAAAAATCTGAAAAACAGTAAAATGTTAACATATTAAATCTAGATGATGGGTGTTCCCAGGATTGTCTGTTTTTGTATCCTATTATATCCTTGGTAGCTTGCACATTATAGCCAAACACCATCTCCATTTTAAGATTGAGGAGAGCTGAAGAGATGAATAAATGTGCTCAAGGTCATGTGGTTACTAAGAACTGAGAACCAAATCCATGCCTGCCTGATTCTAGAGACTCTAAGCAACTTCAAGAAGTAGGATTTAGCCCTATTTTCAGCCACAAATCTTTCATCTATAACAAAGCCACAAACTGAAGCATCAATTTAAAGCTGTCCCTGATACTTGCTAAACGGAATACATCAAAAGGTAAGACTAGTTCAATATAATTTTAAAAGGGTTAAAAACTTTGTATGTCTATAAGAAATAGCAGGTATTTTGAAAACAGTTTGGCTAGAAATGTAAAAAGCTAGAGATTGTTCAGAGTAACAGTGTTTAATAGGAAAGTTCTTTTTTAAAAAAGTAGAGTTGAAAGAGACAGGATTAAAGTGCAGATGTGAAGTTGCCTATGGGGCTCAATAAGCAGAGAACATCTAGGCTGAAGGCTAAATCGATGTTTTACCTTGCAAAGCAAACACTGATTTCTCTTGGATGAAAGCTCCCGAGTAGGCAGAAGAGGCAAATGAACATCCATGGAAATGTAGTAAATGCAGTTTGGATCCTGACTAGCTTCTGCAGATCATATACATACATTTATACTCCCCAGTAACTTTCCTGCTCCTGCCGAGAGGCTCTTAGATGTTCCACAGGCCTTTCTAAACCCGAGGCAAATCAGACTCGCAAGCCTGTGAGAACCACTGGGGTAGGAACCATACCATTCATTTTTGTTTCTCTAATTACTAATTCAGTGCCAGGCTTCTAACAAGTGCTAACAAAGATTGGATAAGTAAATAATTGCAATTCATTATTCTATCCTCGAAACTTACAGATAGCTTACTGTGCAGTGCAACCACGGATCATCCAGAGGCCTTACTGTCTATGAAGCTGGGCTGCTAAAAGTCATTCTTTACCGTTTTTCAGACCCCACAGCCAATATCAGATATTTGCTGAGTCCTCTGAAATCTTTCTTCTCCTATTGATACCCACTAACCATAACTTAATCAGAGATTTTCCCAAAATGCAATTGCAATAAGATTCTATATGATTTTTAAACATCTATTCTTTTCATACTCATTGATCCCATACACTAATAGAATAAATTTTGTAATAAGATTTTCCAATGACATCCAGTGTCTATTAGGTAAGTTTCTTCTAACTTGGTCACACTGCAGGCACATTTGCATTCACTTAGTACAGTGTACTCTTCCATGAAGCTTTGAATTTGCACATGCTGCTACTGCTGTTCCATCCAACAAACTCCATCTAGCCTGTAAAACCCAAATTAACTCCTTCTGTCAAGCTTTCTCCTAATCCTTCAACACAGCCCTCTCTGTCTCAACTACTTCATATATACTGCTATTCTAATGGTGATTGCACTGTGAACTGACTAATTTTTAATAGTTAATCCACTGTGGGAGAGATGGACAAAAAAAAGTAAAGATGACCAGCTGGGGCCTATTTCTCCTTTAATCAAATATGGGCTGAAGGTAAATTATGATTTGACCAATAAATTATGGCAGAAGGGATTCTGTGCCAGTTTGGGCTCAACATTTAAGAGAACAGCAATTTTTGCTTTGGTCTCTCAGACTCCTAAACCACCCCAGAAGGCATCTGACTACCCTGAGCTCCATGCTCTAATGGAGTCCAAACTGATATGCTGAGAGACTGGGTATAGAAGAACTAAGGCCCTAGATTTGTGAACCAGCCATCTTTACTTATTTGAGACACCTCAGCTGAGGTTCCAAACAACAACATCCTACTTTGTCCTGCTGAGCCACAGAATCATAAACATGTAAAATAGGCATTGTTTTATGCTACTAAATTTTTGAATCATTTGTTATGCATCAACAGATACTTAGAACAACCTTCAACATCCACGAGTATTTTCCTAGTTCTCCGACAGCATTAGCTGTTACAACCTCACATTCCTTTCTCATTAAACGTTGAGGTCTCAAACTTCTAAGCCTTGTTTATCTGCACTGATTTCCTGGGGTAATTTCCTTCTGTATTAGGCTTTAAATATCATGCTTATGCTTACACTTTCCTAATGTATATCTGTAGCTATCTATCTCAGAAAATCCAGACATACCCAATTACTTCTTTGGCACCTCTATTTTGTCTAATTATGTCTCTATTATGTCTAATAGGTAACTCAAATTAAGCACATTGCAAATGAACTCCTGATCATCTTCACCAAAGCCACAACTCTTGAAGTGTTCCCCATTTCAGTATATGTATTCAGAGTCAACAAGTTGCTCAGAAAAACATCATAGGCATTACCCTTGATTCCTCCTTTTCTTGCCGACCTCACTTGAATTTATCAACAAGCACTGTTGACTCTACCTTGAAAATATATTCCAACCTGAGTGATCTTACAAAACATAAGATAGAGTCAGTCCATACAGTCAAATTGCCAATAGCTTTTCATCACATTTACAGCAAAATCTCAAATGTTTACCATGATGCTATATAATCTGGTTCCCAGTGATTTCTCCAACCTCACAGACTTTCCATTCCCTTTCATCCTCATTCTGTTCCAGTCACATGTGTCTTCTTGCTAGGCTTAGGTATGCCAAACAGATTCCTGCCTCAAGGCTGCAACTCTTCTTTCTCTTGTGTTTTCCCTTGGCTTACACATAAAATTCATTTGGGTCTTAGTGAAAATGACATCCTCAGCAAGGTCCTTTGTGCAGGCCACATCTACAATAGAGACCCCTCTCTCCCTGGTACTCTCTCAGAGAGTTGCTCTATTTTTCATCATTGTATTTTCCACCACCTGAAATTTATGTTACCAATGTATATATTTTTATTTAATTGCTTGTTTATTGCCAGCTCCAACTATTTGAGGCCAGGTACTGTATCTTATTTACTACTATATCCTCAGTCCCAGAAAAGTGCCTGAGGAAAATACATATTGCTTAACTGAATAAACTCAAAGAAGGAAGAAATCTTTAAATTCCTGAACCCATAGCCTTGAATATTTATTGATACAAATAAGACAGTCAAGGAATATTTGTGAATGTGTTCAAATCAAGTCTGAAAGTCATTTCTAACAACTTATGTAGCTGTCTTCTCTCGAATAAAGTATTTAATCAGGCAGTACATGAAAGCAAATTTTTTCATGATTTCTGGGTAGCAGATTTCTGATTTTCATCTTAAGTGTCAAGCAAATCTTAATATTTGACGTTCCTGTGGCTGATGTGCTTTTTGAGTAAAGGTCACTTTGTTTTAGCAAGTATACCCAAAAAAGTGATATTTGCCTATCATGATTACTTTTTTTGCTGAGTTATTTGGGAAGGCATATGAACCATGCATGGAAGTATTTCGAGGGAATAGTTTTTTACATTTTAAACGTAAATCAGTTATAATAGAACAATGGGGAAAATGTGTTCTCTTGAGACACATTTTCAGGATGTCATCTAATTGGTAATGAAAGGCGAATTTATATTTCTGACTATACAGGGTGCTTGTGAAAAGATGTGCATTTTAAAAATCAGAAAATTAAAATTCTCAAACATTAATAGGTTCTCTACATGTGTCTTTTAAGCCATATGTATATTTTTAACTTGATTTCTAGACAAAGGAGCCTTTTTACTAGGAATTTCTTAATATTCTATAGACTTAGGGAAGTTCATGACAGCTCTATGCCATCAAAAACACATCAGCATGTTTGGATCATTACTCTCCACTGATAAAATTCTCTCTCTTAACCAACTGTACATCCCCTTTTGTATTTCAATTTTACTACAATATTAAACACTCCAGAAATGGCAGTGCTAATTTTTCACATACCTCTTTCATGTACTCTATTTTGCTACATAAATTATTCACTAAATTTTGCTTATGGTTCATTAATCCTCAATTGTATTTTTTTTTTCCTTTTAGAGGTAAAAGTAAGATCTGCTGCATTTCTAAATAAAGCCCCTTTTTGGCTGTTCATTGTGCCCTTTCCTTGAGGTGTATAATTGGATTCTTTAGTCATATATGTTAAAAATTCACCACTAACAGAGATGGAAAAATGTAACATTTGTAAGTTTAAATGCAAGAATTCTATGCATTAAAATAAATTTACACAAGAAGATGTATTATCTTAGTTTGCCAGAAAGCCACTTTAGTGTTTCAGACAACAAATTGCTCATGGTACATTTTCTACTCCAACATATCAAATGCTATCACCAACAATTTGCTTCTTTTTATGGCATATTTTAGATTTTCTTAATGTGGGTGATTTAATTTCACAAAGAAAGTACATTTAATCTTAGTGTCTGTGTGTACCTTATGTATCATGTTTCTGCAGTTATGAAAATGAACAGATGCCAAGCATAAAAACTCGTATTTTCGAGTCCATGATTTATAGTGAATAACTTTCAGTTCTTTAAAGCAGTGCTGCATGGTGTTAAGAACACTGCTACCACCCTGTTCCAACATCTCTTGCCTCCACATTGATCTCCCTATTTCTCTCTTTGCCCCTATATTCTAT